AGTACTCTAAATGTATCTTACCTTCCTTGTGATTTTCTTAATCATATTTTCTTTTCCCTTACTTTAACAGTATAGCATATAATATATGCTATACATATGCTATACATACAAAGTATGTGTTACTTGAATGCCATTGGTAAGACTTACAGATGGTAGTAAGCTGTTAAGTTTTGGGGGAGTCAAATGTTGTGCTCAGAATTTCGACTGAATGGGAGATCAGCACCCCCAACTTTCACATTGTTTAAGGGTCAACTGTACATCTTTTCTGGAGAAAAATTCGTGTGGCAGATTCTGAAATCTAATACATGTACTTTTTTAATTACTCATATAGAATATGTGTGAAATAATATGATGATATAAATTAAATGAATATCAGTAATAGAAAATACATGAAGTTCGAATGGCATAATTATATAGTCATATCTAAGACATGCTGATTTTGCTGAAGATTTATTTTTATAATGTAATATTTATTGTACTTTAGAATTTTAAAATTCTGATAAAACACTGTGTTATGTTGTTTACTTACCTCACAGAGCATAGGTGTTTAAGGAAGGCTACATTCTTTGTGGCCTGAATCAAATAATTTCTGCTGACTCAATTTGTGCATATAATTGGATATATGATCAGTTTTATTCAGTAATTTAGTACTCTTTTATTTTTAAGGAGTGTAGTTTAAATAACGTAAAATAGAACTATCAGTGCAGAGATTTATATTTTTGCAAAAAGCTATACTATTTTCTTTAAAGCAAGCTAATTTAAAAGAAATGGATTTCTAAATTTATATAAAGTGTAGATATATAGAATATGTATATATATACACATGTATATGTGTATATATATGTGTATATATATATGTATATATATAGAATATATATATATATATAACTTATTTTACCAAATATAAATGGATTAAATGCTTCACTGTGTATATTCATTCGCCCATACTTATTTCTTTGGAAGTTTTCTTGAAGTACTTTGGAATGTGTTACATTGAATGATTCCATTTACCTTTGACCCAGTTACTGCTCTCCTAGAAGATAGAATTTAGGGTAAGTTTATAGATGTGTAATGAGTTCAAAAGTGGTAGTAAGGGTGTCAGGCAGATATACATCATGGTGAGGACTTAATATCTGCATCTGCATTACATTCTAATTGATGGCTCTGTCTAATGTTTGAAAAGCGTTAAATTGCTGATGTACTTGTGATGGAATGCCTATTGTCAGGCTAGAAGTGAAAACTCTCCCTCATCACTGCAGTTGATTTTTAAATGATTTGTGAGGAAACGACTTTGAGTGTTTGTATTAGATGTCGTAATTAGAGATCGCACATTTCCATAGTAACTCCTGTGTGCCACGTCTCTCTTGAGCATAAACCATGTTCTACAATTCAATTTTTGAAACAATCTTTAAAGAGAGAGACTGATTCATTAAAATGAGAGGCAGGAAAGTCTAAAGAACCACAATGGGACAGTGTCTAAGTAAATTAATCAATAATGCATAAACTGAATACTTAAAGAAATAAATATCATAAGAACATTTAAAGATAGCAGGGATTTATTGATGTTTAAGCTAAATAAGAAAAAATTGACTAGTGTTAAGAAATTGCAGTATTTTAAAGTGTATGCTAAAATAATTTGAATTGTGGGGTATTTAATATTAATTTACTGCTAACTTGTTAATCTCATATTTTTATAAAAGCCACAAATCACCTTAAGAAAACTGTACCCAAATATTACTTTCCCACTCTAAAGAATTATTCAACTCTGGACCTTAGTTTCCTCTTCTGCATTAAGAGAGAAGTTAGAATTATGGATTTTAGAAAGTCTTTATTTCTACTATCTTCAAGTTTTTCCTTTCCTCCAGTATTTTCTTTTACCTAAAAAAAACTTTTTAACTGTGATTTGGAGTGTTCCTCTGCCAGTTAATCAACTGTCTCCTAACTTATATGAGTAATTATCATTAACTCCAATCATTACTCTTTTTTTTTTTTTTTTTTTTTTGCTTGTCTTGATATGAGCAAGGATAAAATTCAATTGTTGTGCTATCTTGAATCATTTCGGAAACCAAGCCAAGTGAAAGGGAGGGAGGGAGACAGGGAAGGAAAGGGGGATGGGAGAAGTGTCTGCAAAATTATTCCTGAGCCTATTCTAATACATAGTACCAAATCAATACCTTCATGATAACAGTTGTTATGTCATGAAGTGTATTTTTCTTTTTTGTCTTACATTTGGACTAAATGGAAACAAGCAAATCACAAATAGGATATATTGTATGTGAGTGTACATGTGTGCGAATATGATGTAATTTCCTCTTCTCCATGACATCTTACCCTTATAATTTTTCCTGCATTACTTAACTCATTTTATTGCTTCCAACAGTCTTCCCCAGTTCTCTCTCCTCTACTACACCAGAAATGTCCCTTTGTAACCCATATAGCCTATGCAACACTCAATGGATGTTTTAGGTGCTCTGTCTTAATCCCAATGACAACACTATGAAATATATATTATTATCATGTCCATTTAACAGATGAAGACCATGGGTTACACAGAAGTTAAGCATCTACCCAAAGGCACACTTCGCTAGCTTTTTCTCTGAATCTCCAGTCCATGCGCTCCTTCCTTGTACTAGAATACTCGTAGTTTTGGATTTTTCAAATGGTGCATACACCATGCATTCTTATTCCTCTGCATGTTTGTAAGTTTCCCCTGCCTGAGTGTCATCTTGTCACACACCTCATCAGCCCTAGTTAACTTTTCCTCTCTTGCCAGAGTATCTCAGAGATCATTTTTTGGGGGGAAGCCTTACTCATATCCCCTGAGTCTCCTTTGCACTCTACATTTTTTATTCACTTTATAGGTTTGTTCATGTATTTATCTCTGATTGAATTGTTCTTCCTTGAGGAATAAGGACCCATTTATCTTTGTTCTCATTGCCTATCCCAGTACCTGGTATGCATTACTTATTGTTACAGAGTCAACAATGGGTAAGAATGAATCCTACATTGTAGGGTAGCAGATGAGAAATCTAGTCAGAATTATGATTTTTATTTTGTAAGACTAATATTTAATTACATTTGAACTCTCAAAAAATCAGAGCATTTTAATTAATATGGATCTCTGCCAGACAGAATTAGAGTCGCATATACCCATAATTCAGTGTAGAATGCCACTCCCTTCCATGAAGTCCCTGTAATCATTATATTAGAGTTTACTTGTTAACCACTAGCTCTAAGGCAATTAGCTAATCAGTTGTCCATTGAGCTCTATTCTTTTCCCACCACAGTGGGGCACATAGAAAAATCATAAAACATAGTGAGGGACCTTAGAATCCAGCTGGGATGACAAATCTAATTCACAGAAAATTTAAGTATAAATACTCCTAATCTGCAACCCATAATACACCAGTGGGTTACTGAGTACAGACAGAAGACCACTTGTAGTTAATTAGCCCAGTTAGCCTAATACCACTCTGCAGGATATAACAAACTGTCATCCAAAACCGTGTAGGGGAGAAAATCTCCATCTGCCACTCCTGTAGCAAGGTTATGAAACCAAACTATCCTAGCTGGCAAAAGGCTTCCCTTTTTGGATAGGTGCCATCCTAGACTTTATTTAAAGTTCAGTGATACAGGCCAATTCATGTTACTAATTCCATGGAAACATTTGGTCTTCTGCGGTGGCCTTAGAGTTTCCAGTCCTTTTGATAACTCATGACTAAGTAACATACCATATTTTGTTTCTTGTATTTCAATAGCATTACTACTCCATTTAGTTTTTATTTCTATTGTATCTTGATCTCTTTTTGAAAATAGCTCTGATACTATAAATCATCCCAGGGTCTTGTCTTATTTTTCTTCAATGTTTTTTAATGTTTTAGTATTTATTTCTGGAGAACGAGAGAGAGAGAGAGAGAGACAGCATGAGCAGGGGAGGGTCAGAGAGAGAGGGAGACGCAGAATCTGAAACAGGCTCCAGAATCCAGGCTCTGAGCTAGCTGTCAGCACAGAGCCTGATGTGGGGCTTGAACCCACAAACTGACATCATGACCTGAGCTGAAGTTGGACACTTAACTGACTGAGCCACCCAGTCACCCCTTGTCTTTTCTTGTCTTGTCTTAATCTTTTCGTTTCTTTTCATTTTTCTCTTCTCTTCTTTCTCTTCTTTCTTCTCTTCTTTCTCGTCTTTCTCTTCTCTTCTCTTCTCTTCTCTTCTCTTCTCTTCTCTTCTCTTCTCTTCTCTTCTCTTCTCTTCCTCCCTTCCTTAACTTACTAAAGCACAGCTTTATTACTTCTGCCCTTAGTTTTTCTTAAAAGTGATTTTGACAATGTGTAAGCTTAAATTTTGCCTCCATGATAATATATTATCTTCAATGCACTTATACATTTGTGACTTTTTTATGCTCCTGAGCTTCAAAGGAATAATTGTATGTGTGTCTATTTTATGTTTTCTCAAAGTTTCTTTTGTCTCCTCTTCCTATAATAAACATCAACAGCAAAACAGAAGATTACATAATTAACTAATATGTGATTTTTCTATAGGGACAGTATATTTCCCATGATTATAATCACTAAAATTTTATCACTAAAATTTTATTTAGCAACCTAATATTATTGCTGTTTTCTTTTGTTTTTCACCTTGGAGATTTTCTTTATTGTTTGTTTTGTCAGCCTTAAAAATAAACACCCAGTTATTTTACCAGCAAAATGACTTTATTCTGGAATAGCAGGGAAATTACAATTCAGGACTTGTAAACTATGGCAAACCATAGGCAAGCCTGGAGATCAAAGGAGAGGACTGTTACTTTATTACGAAGAGGAAGTTGGGAGGGGCTTCTTTGAATGAAAAGTCCATTGAAAGAAAGTGAGAGTGCAGGGTAGTGAGGGTTTCTCATTGGCTGAGTTGTTGGATTTTGTTATTTGCTGAGCTTGTTGCTAAGCAGGAAGAAACTTTTCCTTCCTCCTGCTAGGGTAGTAAAATAGGCTTCTTCCAACTAGGAATGCAAGGTATGTCTCTTCCTGTTGAGATCTGTAGTTGGCTGGTCACCCCACACCATTTTAAATGTGGTTTCCTATATTCAGTTTCACAGTTTATTTTAAGAAAATACACTTCTCTTATTTTCACAGGTAAAAAGATGGCTTATCAGAAGGTCAATGCAGATCAAAGAGCTCCAGGACATTCACAGTATTTAGACAATGATGACCTTCAAGCCACTGCCCTTGACTTAGAATGGGACATGGAAAAGGAACTGGAAGAGCCTGGTTTTGACCAGTTCCAGCTAGATAGTGCTGAGAATCAGAGCATGGAGAATCCAGAGACTGCAGACCTCAATCTTGATTCTATTCAACCAGCAACTTCACCCAAAGGAAGGTTTCAGAGACTTCAAGAAGAGTCTGATTATGTAACCCGTTATACAAGATCTGCACCAAAGAGCAACCCCTGCAATTTTTGCCGCCTTTTAAAAATACTTTGCACAGCCATCATTTTATTTATTTTGGGGATTTTGATAGGCTATTATACACATAAAAATTGCCCTTCAAATGCTACATCTTCAGGAACACTTGATCTTCAGTTTTACCAAGAGATTCTCAAGACAATCCAAGCAGAAGATATTAAGAAGTCTTTCAGGTAGGTGGAGAAAAAATTGATGCTGATGGAATGCATTTCTTGAGAAAAATGTCTCACAGGGAGTATTGAATTGGTGATTTTGCCATGGTGTAAGGTTAGTCCTGCAAGCCAAGCAGCAAAACTTGCCCAGCACACCCTTCACAGAAAGGATGCACATTTCAGATTTATGATACAGCAATACAAATTTATGATGCTGTTGTATTAATTGATAACAAGAATCATAACTGCTGTGGAGACTAAAAGATTCTAGTATTGCATACTCTCCCTCTTGGAAAGTCCAGGTAGACCAAATTAGGATGTAGACACAGCTGGGTATATGTGTAATAAAAACTAGGATATTAGCCATATGATTGTAATTTTTAATGGCACCAGAATGAAATACACCTCTTTTTATGGGCTGAAGTAACTATCTCTTATGGTTAAGAGCTAAGACAAGCACTGATAGTATTTGGATTCCTGCATTCCTGGGTCTCTTAGCACATTTTTATTGAAAACCATTGGGTTCTATATATCAGGCAGTTCTAAAAGTTCATCTGTCTCTTTACGGTAAGTTTGCACATGACCTTTCTAGCCAGAATGTGTTGATTTTTAAGTTAAATGATAAGAAAATATTCTTTATCTAGCATTAATTCTGAGTTCTTGGGAAAAGTTTCACTGTTGCCATATAATTAATGGGCATCTTGAAATGGTTGTTATTAGCATATATGTTGAGTTGTAAAGGGTTTGCTAGTTTACATTCTTAGTGAAATGAACTAGAATTTTAGCTTTCCCATATGTTTTCCATCTTTTCCAAGAAAAGACAGTCCTAAGTGAATCATATATCTTGTTTATAGGTAGATGAGAGAGAGGAATACTACTTCCCCAGGCTATTCTTTCTGGGTTATGTTGACTCATTACAGTCAAGGTGTTGGCATGTGTGCATTTCTGGGGATCTCCTAGTAAGAATACCCACTGAAGGTGCATCATTGTATCTATGTGCTGAAATGTCATGTGTGTGGATATTGGTGAATTATTATTCTCTTCCTAAAAAACACATCTGAATCAGTAATGGTAATTTGTTTCCTATACCCTTCTGCATCTGCTATTCATTGTTGCATAAGCATGTAATATGCAAATAATGAGACTTTCCTTGGTATTGTTCAATGTAAAATTGTTTATGTAGAATTGAGCTGAAAGTTATGTCACTAACTTATAATGGGTGATTCTATCACTCAGGATCAGACAACAGAAAACTCTCTGGATATTTAAAGCAGAGGACATTGAAAGTAGAGGAATTACTCCATCAGTGAAAAAATCTGAGGGACAGTGAGACAGCCCAAAGAAAAGAAGCCATTACTAAACCTACGCTGGAGGGACAAAGGGACCTGGGAAACTTGGTGGACACTGGAACTTTATATGTACACAAGTTCAGGGGAGTGGAGAAATAGCCTCAGCTACTGAAGGCAGAGAGAAAGTAAGAAGTATGGCAGCTTCTCCCTTTCTCCTGTTCTGCAGTATCCTACTAGTTGTCCCATTGGCTGAACCCAGTAGGAGTGCTGCGGACTCTGAACCTGGGAAACTCATTCTGAAGGGTTCAGCTTCCTGGAGGAGGGGAGTAAAAGGGTTCTGTCAAAGATAGATCTAAACGGGATATTATTAAAAAAAACAAAAAACAAAACAAAACAAAACAAAACACCACCCGAAGCAGAGGTTGGGAGGAAGAAGGAAAACAGAACTCTATGAAACTGTGTCTACTATATCTTCATTGTGTACATTCTTTCATGAAAGTGTCTTCTGAAAAAGGATCCATGGGTTTTTTTTTTTTTTTGTTAATACTAATAATTATTATGTTTTCCTGATCAACTGCTTAGTTTTTAGTTTAGGGACTCAATGAATCTCCTAACTAGCTTCCTCCTTTTTTCTTTTGGACTTTATAGTAAGTTCAGAGTCATATTTATATTGAAATCATAAGAAATTTCATGGAAAGCATTTTTTGTGTACAAACTAACCTATGAATTTATTTCTTTCTCTGGCTTTCTTTGCCTTATTATAATTATTAGTTTTTTCATCATTGTAGACATCTTTAAAAACTGACTTAATGTCCTTTTTTGCAAATAGGCAGCTGGTTCTAAAGTTGTAAATGTATAATTAAATAAAAATATGCATTATTTTCCTCAGAATAGGAGTTGTGTGAGTAAGGCATATATTCTCCTCTTAAACTTGAAAACCCAGATAATATATATTTCAAAGATAGCTACAAAAACATACTCACTAACAATTTTACTGCTGGGAAATATTCAATGGTTGAACACATATTCAAAATTGTAGTGCATCAAATAGCCACATTTTTTTTCTTTATTGAGATAAGAGACTTTTTCTTCATACAAATATGTTTATAGTGACTTTCTCCAAATAACATCTCATCCAAAGACAAACTTTTTCCTAATAGTCATGTTAAACAAATGACCTATAATGGGCTTCTGTGTTTACTAAGTCATCTTAGCATTAACTCTATATATCACAGATACCTACTGCTACTTTTCTTCAATTTATGCCCAGTATTGGGCTTTTATTGGCTTACTCTTTTGTTCATCAGTTGCTTTCTCTCTTTTCTATTGGTTCTCTATCCTTTCCTGTACTCTAAGACTAGGTCAGTTCTTGCGAAACATCCAAAAGTTGTGCAATATAAAATATATTCTTTTTATAATAGATTAGATTGCAGACTCCATGAGGAAATGGACCAAATTTTCTTTGTCCAGCATTAGATTCCTAGAGTCTGGTAAATATTGAATAAGTATTTTTCTATTGGAGGAAATGAATGCCTGAGTAAATGAGAAATAGAGCTATATTTAACTGGCCAATTATATTATGTATTTTGAAAATTATTTGACTTACCAATTTTATTTTTCATATAATGATTCTATTCAAAATATTAATATAATATCTGCTTATATTATAAAATACTTTATATTATATAATTATATTATAGTTACTCAGAGGATCTGGTATCTTCTGATTTTAAAAAGTGACAACTCATATCAAAACTAGATACTGTAAAAATGTTAAAGTACATTGTTGATGTCTCCGTTCCAGATGAGGCTTGAAGACAGTTGATGCTGCACTTCTATTAGAACCAGCATGCAGAACTTGTAGGGGTGAATAACAAAATTCTGAGATGATCATCCAGTTTTAGAAGAAATAAAAGAGTAGATAAAGAGGGTTTTTTTTTGAGATTGCTGCTACTGGTGTGTTAAGTCTCAATTTCTTTCCAAGGAAGAAGCTTCAAGTCCAGTGAAAAAAGGGTTTAATAGAACTACTTGGAAGAACTTGCTAGCTGCCTCACACAGACTGCCTGATTTCCACTTGAGAAGTCTAAGTGATAAGATATGGATTGGTTTAGTTGCTGCTAAAAGTACAAAGGAAGAGGTTTGGGGTGGACTATGACAAACTTTTCTTCTGTGGACTCTATCCAGACAGACAGAATATGAATACGAATGAAGGAAGAGAGAGGATTACTGCCATTCATATATTGCAACCCTGATGATCAGTATGATGGTATTAGGAGATGGGGCCTCTGGGAGGTGGTTAGATCATGAAGATATATTTCTCACAAACAGGACTGGCAATCTTACAAAAGGAGGCCACACAGAGTCCCCAAGTCCTTTTGTCGTGTGAGGACATAGTGAGAAGACATTCTTTATGAGAGAGGAAGAGGGCCCTCACCAGCCACCACAATGAATCAGCCAGTGCTGTAACAGACTTCCCATTCTCCAGAACTGTGAGAAATCTGTATAAGCCAACCAATCTGTGATATTTTGTTATAGTAGCCCAAATGGACTGGGGGTTGGAGGGAGTCTTACAGATCTTCTCCAATAAAACTTCCTGGATAGATGTAAAGAACTTATCAGAGACAGAGCTACAGATATGGGTCTGTGGAAGCATTGGAGCTGGAGGAGAATGTATTACTCACATAAAAGGAGGGTGAGAATTCACTTGTGAGATGAATGGATCTCCAAAGAACCCACAAAGCAGAAGAGGATAATTCACCTGATGACTCCAAATAGATTCAGGAAATACCATGCCAGTTCATGAGAGTATTTATCAAATGAGAGCCATTTGCTCCCACTTTACCCTAATTTTAGTTGCTCTGTGTCAGTCCTGAAGTTATAGACACACAAAGACAAGAAGCTGACTACTCCCCATACTTTGACTTTAGGGTTCCCAATTTAAAGACGGTCAAAAGTGGGGAAAAGTTAAATTACTCACTAGAAGAAAAGTTTAATTGCTAGCTAGAAGAATTCAGGTCACACAACAATCACCAGAATTAGTGGAGTTTTTATCCAGGAATAAAAAAAAAAATCTAGCCTCAATGAATAAATGTAAATGAAAGAAAAGTACTTTATGATTGCATTCCCTGAGTTAAACATTGTTCAATGTAGAGGTTACATTTAGGATTTTAGAAAAGTACACATTTGAATGTGGTGATTCATAGAGAATTATTGATAGACATATTGGCTGTATATTCCAGTTGAAGAACCTAATTACCCCATAATAAAACCTGCGTAATATGTTAAGGCAAGTACTTGGTATATTGACCAAATCAAAGAAAACCAATCAGAAGTTTAGTTATACTTGATCACATTTGTGAACATGGTCAAGATTAGCATAGGAGTATGAAGACCACGTTAGTGTTTGTGTAAATGTATGTGTATGTGTGTGTTTTTGTGTATATTAATCATCTAATATGATTCTCTCAGTCACTTTTGTCTATGCTTAACTTGTTGCTATTTGAAATACCTTCACTCTTTTACATAATTTGTTTATTTCTTCCACATATCTTCTGTGTAAGCCAACAAGGTATATTCAGATATACAGCAGATATATTCTGATGGGTATATTCTGATAGAATCCAAATAAGTTGTTTTATTTATGCTTTTGGAGTTTCGAAACAGTAACTACCTAGATATGCAAGTTTATTGGAAGCATCAAAACAGGAGGCTGGGCCCAGCCTCTATGAATAG